TTCATTTCTAATATAGGCCGTTGTGTCAGATAATCTAAGTCAATGTTAGAGAATAATTATTTTTTTCAGATTTACGGAATCTCAGTTAGCCTTCATAGCGGAGCTGAACCCGTATTACACCAAGCACTGTAGCTAATATTAGCTGGTATCTCACCGGTGGACATAAATACAGTAAAGTAATATTGTAATCACAATATATACACAATAATATGTCCATCTTACTTGTGAAATGTTGTCTGTGGAGCCCTCGCATCAATAATCCATCGATCCGAACAACAATATCCTCAGTGCTGAGGCATCTTCTGCTGTTTTGGTTGAGCAAAGTAGGAGGGTATACCGCTCCAAGATGGCCGCCGTATTTCCTGCTCCGGAGCGGCCAATGCGGGGTCTACTCTTATATTATGGCTAATCGCTAGGAGAAAAATAATAAACATTTGGCCAATCAGCATCGCTGAATAAAATATCTTTGGGGCTTGCCATACTAGATGCCGGAAGGTTGCCATGGTGATAAGTTTAATGGCGGCGGCAGGGGAGGGAGAGCTTAAACCGAATTCTCCATCCTGAATGAGAAGCGGAGGATTTTCCAGATGTTCGGTAAGCTACAGCTTCTGTTACTTTTATCTTTCATTTTTCTCTGCGCTGTTTCACTGTTTCTGTACTCCACCTGCTGTCATTTGGTCTTTGCTAATAATCAGTTATGAACGTTATGCTGACGTTGCTCTGCTTAGCATAATGCTAATGCTGCCTTGGATAAACGTTTCTCTTTTTTAGTGGTTAATTCCAGAAGTTATTTGAGTCCATATAAAGGTAATGAAATAATGCAAGAACACATTCTCAAAGATCCACAAACTTAAAACTTTAATGAACATTTAACACTGGATCTAGAAAACATTTTAAATATCTAAAACAAACAAAACAACAGAAATAAAATGAATGATGAAATCTCTGTAAGCAAAATTATCTTTCAAAAAAAAGTTTAGTTAAAACACCAAACTGAAGAAAGAGAGAAAAATTATAAATCATTTTATCAATTTTTTGTCATCATGTAATTACTAAAATTATTTAATCATATGATCCATCCTCCATCCATTTTCTGTACACCCCAACCCCTAGAGGGGTCGGGAGGAGCTGCTGCCTCTCCAGCCAACATTCCGGGCGAGAGGCGGGGTCACCTGGACAGGTCACCTGGACAGGTCACCTGGACAGGACACCTGGACAGGACACCTGGACAGGTAACCTGGACAGTAACCTGGACAGTCACCTGGGCAGGTCACCTGGACAGTCCCCTGGACAGGACACCTGGACAGTCACCTGGACAGGACACCTGGACAGTCACCTGGGCAGGTCACCTGGACAGTCACCTGGACAGGACACCAGTCTGTCGAGGGCTTGATCACATGATGATTAATAATTAAATAAAGTAATTTAATCATGTGATTAAATGATTTATTGCACCAATAGCATTGATAGCAAACTGTCACATGGTGGCGATTTTAACAAATATGTATAAAAACTTCTTTTTTTAAAATTTTTTATAAAAGTTACATATTGCAGCTTTAAGAACCAATTTAGAGAGTTTATCAGCCAGAAGTCAGTTTGTGGTGTAGCTGCCAGTGTTTCCTTGAGAGCAGAGCATCATGAGGAATCTGAAGGAATGAGCAGACAGACACTAGGTGGCGCTAGAGGACCTGCCCTCTTCCCTATTGTTTCATTTTTCCAGTGTGGCCTGTGGTAACTCTGACAGACCCGATGCAGCAGCACAGAGTCCTGATCTGATTCAGTTCTGATTTGGTCTGACATGAAGTTTATCTCAGCTCCAGACCTTTAAGCTTTACACAATTTATTTATTTTAGTTTTAGTTTTTTTTATTCTGGTTTACAGAAGTGAAGCCACTGTTTTACCTTTAGTTATCTGAGTATCAGCTGATACTGATGCAGAAAAACTGCTGAATTTATTTCTTTATTTAAACACAGACATAAATCTACTGAAGTATAAATTAATGTTATAACTGCATCAGTGCAGCTCCAGAAACACAGCAGCAGCTTGACAGGCTGTAAAGTTTTAATCTGTTCAGTCAGAGAAAAACAGACTGATGAAAACAACAGGTCAGAAATAAACTGCAGCAAACATTTCAGTGGTTCAGAAAGTCTAATTAGGAATTATAAATATGATGTAAAATAATCTGATTTCTTTGTTTTTATCAGCAGCGATACAGACACCAACAGCTGATCGAGTCTCCAGTCTGAACTCCTTCCAGGTCGGAACCACAGACCAGCAGCGGCTCTGAGCTGTTCCTTTAAGAGCCGAGGAGGAGAACCGGACCGGGTCGGTACCAGACGGTGCAGCTGTCCCCCTCTGTTCCGGGTCGTCTCGTCTCCAGGATGTCTGCGGGAAGCGGTCTGGAGTCGGTGGACTTTGAGATCTTCGGCCATGTTCAGGGTCCGTTTGCTCCTCTTCCTCTGCAGCTGAAAACGATCCTGCTGCTGAAATTAGACCAGCAGTCGGGCCGGGCTTTATTTACATCCTGCTGCTGGTTCTGGTTCTGAACGGACTCTGTTTCTGTTTTCCAGGTGTCTGCTTCAGAATGGTGAGTCTGATGAAGAAAAACAGTTTATTGTTCTGATCCAGAGAGCAAACTGTGAGGACGGAGCCGATCAATATCACAATTATTACTTATCTATTGATAGAAAGGAACCAAGGTGTCACCACCTGAATTTTTCCTTCAAGTGTTTCTGTTTTCATCAATAATGAAGATTTTTTTCAGTTTTTTTATCAACATAAGTCAGTTTGGAAATGAAACTCCATTTTGTTTTTTACTTCCATGATTAAAACTCAGATCTAGATCAGAAAATCGTGACGAACCGTTTCTGCTCTGCAGGACAGAATAAATATATAAATAAAACAGTAAATAGAATAATCACTTTTTAATAATAAACAGATGCATTTCCCTGCTTGGCCTCACTGTGGCGCTGTTCTCTTACAGTCAGTGAACTCAGCTGGTGGAGATTTAATAGATTAAATTCTGAGTTTATGGTTCAGATGGATATAAAACAGAAAATAAGAAAATGATCAGAACAGAGTCTGTAACTTACTGACGGCCATCTTGGTAGGTTGTTGCTATGTCAACAGTGAATGAGCCACATTCTCCGTCTCATCCTGGTCCGTCTGAACAGCAGCCATTTTGTTGATGTATGTTTCTCTTCCTGTTGGTCTGGTAGCCGTGGTGAAGCGACGCTTCGCTCTGTGTTTGCCTACCAAGATGGCGGATCGCCTCCGGTTCAGACTCGTGTGAATTACATGTTAGTCCCGTCAGATGATCTGTTCTTCCTGTCTGCTGCTTCCTGGAATAACTTGAATTTAGTCAAATTAAAGTCAAATTAAAGACAATTTGGACATCCTGCCGTCCAGCAGGACAGACATGTCCAGACCGTCTCACAGGGACCAGTTAGAGAGCAGTCAGCCTGACAGCATTCCTCGCTACTAAAGCTCCTTAAGAGCTGCTGCCTCATGAAGAACAGACCATAATAATCTGGTTTTTAACTTTACCAACCAGCTGCTAATCCGACCAGATCTCCAGTCCCTCCTGTCATCGTAACGCCGCCGTCCATCAGCCTCAGAGCCGGCGCTGCTGCTTCTCTCACTCTGGACTTTAACCAGCAGCTCCTCATGTTGGTTTCATGTTTTCATTTCAAAGTGAGTGAAACGTTTCCTGTCCTGCAGTACACAGAGAAGGAGGGTCTGCGGCTGGGCCTGGTGGGCTGGGTGAAGAACACGGCCGCTGGGACGGTGGTGGGACAGGCGCAGGGACCGGCCGCCATGTTGGAGGAGATGTGAGACACACACACGCTGAGACACACACTGAGACACTGAGACACTGAGAGACACTGAGACACTGAGAGACACTGAGACACTGAGAG